CTAGTGATTGTGATTTTGTTTATTTTACATGCTTTATTCTATATGTGAAAATGGAGAGTCCAAGTAGCAATACTTACCACTGCGTCTCACGCAGTTGCCACGGGAACACTATTTTTGTGGTTTGAAAGCCCGGGTTTTGCTTTTAACGTCATCCATTTGTTATTTATTATTTCTTTATTCCACAGGGAACGATGTCAGTATAACTTATGAAAGGTGAAGTCCTAAAGTAGTAACTACGGAACTACATGTCCTTGTCATGAAACACAATTCAAAGGCTAAATGAACATGAAAAGGCCCAACAAAGATAGAATTTAAATAAGTTTTACCCTTGGCTAGTCATCGATGCTTGATATAAATTCTTTCTTTTCAGTTATGACCTATTCCACATTATATGGTCATTTTTGTGAACTTCATGTTTTGGTCTCCATCTTGGTCTCCATCTCATCGACACCTAATGCTATTTAAACACGGTGAATGTATAGAGAAGCATAAATTGGAATATTTTGATGTTTGTGACAATGTATGCTGACATTGTGAAGCCTAATAAAGTTTATATATGTTGGATTTGGGGATGGAGACAATCTAAATAATTAGCACAAGTTCAAAGTAAGAACTCATTCTAAAAAAAAACCTTATTATTGAGTATGAGAGCTCCTCACACTTATAAATCCATCTTCATTTATGAGATTCCTAAATGTGAGATTCATGAAAATGAAACCCATTTGAGAGACCCTCCATAGATAGCCCTTTTCATGATACTAATCTCTTAATGAAGGTATTAATGCCATGAGCACATGTCCAAAGAGACAGTGAATCTCAAAAGACTAGCCTATTGAATGGAAGAGCCCATCGCATTTATAAATTTCACTCCACTTGTGAGGGTCTATGGTGTCATGGGACTCAAGATAAATGCGTTATTGAATCTTCATTATCACTCGTTAATCTTTGCTCACCAAAATCAACCACATGCCAAAGGTATCTCAATGGTTATTTGACATCACACACATGTATATATATATTCAATTCGTGTAATATATTCAAATGGATGAAATGGCTTTTTCAATTAGAGTTTACATATAAATTCAAGCATAGGGTTGAGTAATATAGGTTTATATCGTTTAGTACTTTTTGTTTCCTTGGACTTTTTCCAATGGTTAAAATGTCTATTATTGTCAGATGTTCGATGAGGCAGAAGGGGGAGATGAATTCAGGAGAGTTAATGTAATTAAGTTGTTTTACATTTCAATTCTTATATGTGTGACCTTGACTTCCTTACAAAATAATCTATAAATTTATGTATATTCCCATCTGACGTGGGATTGTCAGGTTTTGTTCCTAAAGTTGTGCTTAAGTTTTGAAAATGGAATATTGTTAAAAACAAAAGTTATAAATAGGTGTGTTGTCAGATTATTTCCTTTCATTTTAATTATAATAATGACACCATTCAATTGGTTACGTTGTTAATTATTTAGTGTATTAACATTTTGACATAGAAAGGCTTTTCCTGTCATGGTTACTATAAATAAATATGCGAACAATTAAACGATTATATTATTTTAACAGTTATGGTGTGAAGATAATCCATTAATAAGCTCAATGAAAGAGCCATAAAAAATTAACTTGTGACAAAATATCTTTTTAATTTATATCTTGTCAAGTTGTTGTTTGAACATTAAGAAGCTATAGTTTGAATTTTAACAAGTTGTTATCTATTTTGGAGTTTTAGTAGCAAGTTGTAGTTCAGATTTTGAAAAGTTGTTATTTAAATATTAAAAAGATGCAATTCAAATTTTCACAAGTCGTCCTTTCATTAGTACTTGAATATTGGATACTTATTTTCTGATTGGACAATTTCTTAATATTTAAAGAATAGTTTGTTCAAATTTAATTTATAAATTATCAAAATTTGAATTATGACTTGTCATTGGAGTTTCAACTGTCACAGGCAATGACATGTCAAAATCTAAACCATAAATGATTTGCTAGAGTTTCAATAGTTGTCAACGATAGGACTTTGGTGGCCGGTACTACCGCCAACCTTTAGAACAGGCAATGGTTAAAAATAGGTGGGCCAAGTTCATATGAGCTCAAACTCATAAGCTCGATTATTTTAAAATAAATCATTATTTTTTAAAGTTCAATCCTCACTTAAAATCAGCTCAGGCCCAAATCCTTTAGCTACTTTTTATTATTTTTTAATTTTAATAACTAATATTTTCAAATATAATATTTCATATTTTTTAAAATATAAATTATAATGTCAAAAAATTAAAAATAAATGATTTAAAGTATAAACATGTGTTCTAAAGCTTAAATTCAATTTAAAAATTAAAAATATTATTTTTTTAAGGGTAAAACAAAAAGGGCCTAAACAAGCCACTCAAGCTAGAGCTCATTTTTCATGATATATCAAACTGGGCTTTAAAGATTGATTTTCTTAAAAGATGTTATTTTTTCAGGCCTCAATTCTTATAAAAATAGGCAGTTAATGTAAAGTCCCACCAATATATCACAGACCTTACTTACACGCACCACAACATAACACAACACAAGTACTTAATTTATTCTGAAGATGTGACATCCTAATTTTAAGTTGAAAATATACAAACATACAATTAAGGCTCCACAAAAGAGCTTAAAGAGGCATAGGTGCCATACCCTTGAATTAGAAATTAAAAGGATCACTTTTCTCAAAACTTTGTCATGCACTGTGGCATGTATTTCATATATTGTAGCATGTAATACAGAGCCATGAGTCTCAGCTCTGTGCCATAGCGCACATTCAAATTTTGTTGTTAAAGCAACTTTATTGATATGAACTTTTGCCGCACGCCATTTTTTCATACGATGTTCGATTGGAATAATTTAAGTGCCCACACAAAATTCGTAAGACAAGCTAACTAGTGAGAACAATTTGGACACAATCCGACAATGCAAATTCAAAATTATAATATTTGGAATCAGATTCATTATAAAAAATGCACAATTTCAAGTTAGCAGACTTCACAGGGTGGGAAAATATGAAAGTTGAATTGAACCATTGGCAAATAACCTAGTTATAATGCCAACCATTATTAGTATAAATTGATAATTAGAATCTTCTTAGCATGACATTTTACTCAGAATCTGAAATAAGTTATATTATTTATTATCTATAAAATATAATATAATTGTATAATATTGATAAATATATATATTTATAATTTGATTTTTAGAATTGAAGAAGTTGGTCATATATTAATCTCGCTGTTTTGAAAAACATGAAAAATGGCTAAAATGACAATTGAGAAGTCTTCAAAACCTCCCTTGTTTTATCCTTTAAAGAGCTTGTCGAACTTATAGCATTGTTGTCTTCACGACGTCATATATGTCTAGTGTTGTTGCTCCTCAAAGATGGAGTGATTAGGGCATTCAATGTCTTTTATGTTTTCTTTCTCTTCTATGTTGTCGTCCAACGGAAGTGATGAACGTGCATGTTTGTTCTTTTTGGGGAATATCACTATTTTGGAAGTGGAGCCAACTGCTTATCAGTAAGCTCTTTTGGATAACAAGATAAAGACTATATGAAGCATCCTTCTTTGTCAATATTTTGTTTATCAATGGAAATGATTGGCTTCCAAATCTTAAACCCTTTTTCTCATGAGCTAGATCTTTTTAACATCATAGAGCTTTTGACTCCATGACCCAAGAGAATCCCCTCTTCTCCGTACCTACCAATGAACACCGTATTTTATTCAGGTATTTTTTTAAATTTAATAATAAATAACCAAAAAATATATAAAAATATAAAAATGAAGTCTAATCCTTTTTAGGATTATATTTTCAAAAAAAATTAATAGGGTTTAATTTTATTTTGAATAATCTTTTATTGCTTAAGATCTTATTTCTTTTAATTCATTAAAAAATAACCAAAAAAATATAAAAATACAAAATCAAAATTTAATCCTTTTTTTAGGATTATATGTTCAAAACAATAATAATTTAACAAAAAAAGAGGTTAAATCTTAAAAAAATATTGGAAATCAACTTTTGAGGATTAAATATTTTTAAATTTCTCTCCTTAAATCTAATGATTTTCATTTAAATTATGTATTTTAAAATTAGATTTTTTCCTCTCCCTTAATTTGATTGACAAAAAAAGGCGCATTAAAATCAAAAAACTTAAAAATGGGGCACTCAGCCCAAGATTGCTTTCGGCTAGCAGAGAAAATGCATGCACCCCATTCTTTTCTTCTCCTCCTTCTGAAATTCAAATGTTCAAAGAGTCAAGGAGATCAATCTTCTCTCTCCTCATTTTTTCCAGCATTCATCCTGGTTACTGTCAACGACGTGGGTAGTGCTGGAGCTTTTTCCATCTTTGTAGAAATCCATCTTGTGAGTGCTTCCTCTCCCCTGTTTCACGTCACAGACTGCTCAACTTCCTTAACATCTAGCTTGTCCAAGTCACTAAAAAAAAGAAAAGGGATAGAGGAAAGCTAAAAACTCAGACCCACAAGTGAAAAAAAAAAAAAAAACAGAGAGGAGAGTGAAGACGCAAGTACATTGCAGAAAAAGCAAAGGAAGCAGAAAAGAAACATGCAAGAACAGTAAAAAGCAGACAGCAAATAGAAAAGAAAACAAAAAGCAGAGCAGACACATTCACGTGAGCAGAAAAATTGGAGAGCATGCACACACTACAGAAAAGACAGCACGTTGAAGAAAAGATAGAGATGCACATGGCAAAAAAAAAAAAGCAAAAGCAGAGCAGAAATGCGGTGTGCACACAAGTGAAAGGAAGGAAAGCAACGTGCACGCAAGAGGAAGATCCCGAGCTTCAGTGATAAAGAGCAGGAGAAATAGCAAAAAATGAGGGGATGGGAGAGCATAAGAAGAGAGCGAAAAAAAAAGACTGGGGGAGATAGATGAGAAGCAAAAAAACAGAGCATGGAGACAAGAAACTGAAGAGACGAAAACAAATAAAAACAGACAAGAAAAAAACTGGAGGAAGGAGAGAGCTGAGAGGAAAACTGAGGAAGAGAAGAGAGGAGGAAAACTTGAGGAATCAGAGACCGAGGACAGACGAGAAAGGGATGAGAAATAGAGCACTGAGGGAGAGACTGAGTGAGGAAGGGGAGGACCGAACACACTACCTGAACACAGCACTCATGTGAAAAGAAGGGAGATGAGAGTGAACGAGGAGGAGACTGCAAACAGTGAGAAGAGAAACTAGAAAAATAAATGAGAGAGAGACCTAGAGACGCAGAAGAGAAAAGAGAACGCGAGAAAAAGAAAGGAGATCGAGAATCTGAGAGAAGGAGGAGACTTAAAAAATAAAGCGAGAGCAAGAAAGGAGATCGAGAATGGATGAGTAGTAGCAGCTGGAAGAGGGACTGAAAAAAGGGAGAGGATAGTTCAGCTCAAGAGACACAGTCTCTGATGGTGAACAAGAAGGGAATGGTGATTTCGCCAATGATGGAACTGATTCTAGGTTCACTATGATGAGGATTATTGGCTTCATTCCTTATTTAATTGGCTGGTAATCTACATCTCCTATTCTTTCATCTTTTTTTGGGAATATAAAAGTTTAACCTTGGCCCTCGAATTGTCATATTTCTGTTTAATTGCTATCTACATATTGAGTGAGATTGGTATATGATTTGGTCGGCTTAAATCTCTTGGGTGCTTACGAGTTATGATGAACTTTAGATGGTTGGGTGTCTCTTTGATCTTACTATTCTTACCTATCATAATATGCAATTAGTATGATGGTTGATTATTTTTCTCCATATAGTTCAAGTGAGATTCTACTTGTTGTTCCAAGACATAGATTGAAATTGGATTTAGATTCATATTAGCACCAACAAAAATGTATAGACCAAGCTGCTTCTTATTATTTTGTTGAAGGGATGTGTTGATTATTTTTGGGAAAATTAGGAGCTTTACTTGTGAGAATAATATTGTGATTGCTACATGACTTACATACTTGGTTTTCCCATTTTAATGAAATAACGTTGCTGCTTCATATTATTTAATGTTACTTCCTTTTGAATATCATTAAAGCCTTAAGCCAAGCATATAAGGCAACATAGCATTTAAGGTAACATGGCCTAGTCAGTCAGAAGTAGAAATGATTTACTCCTTATTAATTGCCTCTGTGAATTTTATATTCAAATGAATAATTCTTGAATATATGATCTTTTTATGCTCATATGCTAAGTACAAATATCAATTTTTAAAACATGAAGTAGGAGATTTTGAGAATTTTTGCAGGCATCTAAAATGATCTCATTCCGTGAAAATCAATAAGATTTTACGGATATGAGAATCAATTTTGTATACAATAATATGGGTTTCAAAGACTCATCATTAAAATTAATTCTCTTTTTATAATTAATAAAATATTTAAGTCTCATGAGAGATTTCAAGAATCTTTATAGAGAATTAAATTAATTGTCTTATCACGTAGGATAATAAATCCTCGCAGATATCACAATTCTCAAGTTTATATGAATAATGTAAAAAATAATAAAAAATTTTTATACTATTAATTAATTAAATTAATAAATATAAATTATAATCATATTGTCTAATTAGATCTTTTGGTCATATGAGATTTTTAAAAGTCTATAGACTTCTAGAATAATTATCTTACCGTAAAAGTCAATAAGACTTCATAGGTATAGCGATTAAGATTTCTATGTTCAAAAATATAAGTTATATAAATACACATTAAAATATACTTAAAATATTTACACTATTTCACTCTTTTATCGTGAGAGATTTTGAAATCTCCACAGATATTTAGAATAACTGTATTATTGTATGAGTGAATAAGGCTCTACAGGTATAGCAATTAAATTTTCTAAAAAAACTAATAAAACATGAAAAATAATTTTAAAACTCTTTTCTTTATTTGAAAAAAATTTTAAAAATTGAGAAAATAGTTAAAATTAAATCACTTTTTGCAATTTAAAACACACACATTAAAATTTTAGAAATTATTTTATTTGCAAAATGGTGAATTATTTCTAATTAATTTTTTTTTGAAAAATGTTTTTGCCAATAACTTTTAAAGTTTGAACTATGTGGACTTTGATCTCCACTGCAGGATACATAGGCCTTAAAGTCAGACTTTGAGTCAAGTCCTTCCTGTAAATAAATAAATATTTCTCGTTTAATTCTTATCATTTTTATATGGGAGAATGACAATTAAGGACCTGCTAAGAACATTAATCCCAATTACGGACCGTGAAATTTTGAAATCAGAGTTAAGGACCATGGTCCTTAATTGTGATAAAAAAAATATAATTTGTGAGGTGGGATTCACTAATGCGACTTGAGAATTCACTAACCCAACTTGAGAAAATTATTAATGTATATTGTGAAAATATGAAACCTCACTTGAAAATGAAATGTTTATCAAAAAGTGCTACTTGAGAATTCACTAACTAAACTTGAAAAACTTTCTAGCGTATATTGTAAAAAAATAAAACCTCACTTGAGAATCATTAATAAAAAGTGACTTATCCAAATTGGTGTTTTTTATTAAACAATTGATTCCCAAGTGAAGTTTCATGTTTTCACAATATATGTTAGAAATTTTTTCAAGTCGAGTTAGTGAATTCTCAAATGGCGCTTTTTGTTAAACATTCAATTTCCAAGTGGGGTTTCATGTTTTTACAATATACGTTACAAATTTTCTCAAGTTGGGTTAGTGAATTCCCAAATGGCAATAATGAATCCCACCTTACAAATTACATCTTTTTAATCACAATTAAGGACCATGGTCCTTAACTAGAATTTCAAAATTTCACAGTCCGTAATTAGGATTAATGTTCTTAGCAGGTCCTTAATTGTCATTCTCCCTTTTTATATCAAACACATGAATATAAAGGGGATAATTAAAATAATTTTAAAACCATATTAATATAGCACAACAAACTTGAGGTAACCGTTCTCGCGAATGGGTGTTGTGGGGTGCCTAACACCTTCCTCACACTCAACCGACTCCCGAACCTATTCTCTAATTTTGCAGACCATCCTTGTCCTCCTTTAAATGGTTTTCTGAGATTTTCCTCAAAATCTTGGTGGTGACTCTCATTTCTCCAGTCTTCCTTTCAAAGGTCGAGAACCTCTACTCTTGCGCTGTCCATGTCGCATTTTCGGGTGCGACACTACCTTTATCTTTTTCTCCATCATATATAATTGCTCGATGTTCACATTGTAATTTCATGACAAGTACTATCATGAAAAAAGTTACTTTTCTTTAAAAACTCAAACACCATGACAGTTCAAATTCAACACTTAGCCTTATTAGGCCATTTTGGGCCTCGAACCAAGTCCACAAAGACTAAACACGCCCAATTGGCACATAATATCATGCATCACACATTATACAATTTGACCTCTCAATACCACTTTTAACATATGTGGACTTACATGAGAAAATACAACAACATGCATAATTGCACAAAATAACATCCATACACTTTTACACTTGTTCTACTTATATACATTTGACTTGCATATATGGAGCTAACCTTTATCATATAGTTAGGGTTCATACATATACTTGACTTACACAAATAGAGCTAAGTCTTACTATTTAGTCACGATTCACAATAACCACTTGATTCCCACACATACACATTATCACAAACACATCAACACATTTGTAGAATAAGTTGAATACTTAATATTATCAAGTCATACTCATTACACACACCTCTAACTTTACATAAGTACCTATACTTTAGGCACCACAAGCTAGGAAAGTATTGTTTAACACATATTACAGAGTAAGATATCACAAAAATAATTATACACATGCTTGCTTGTAATAGCATCTAAGACAACCACCATATTCACACACATTAACACATTTGGTAAAGATGCATCAAAATAATACAAGCAAGTCACTCAAAATGACATATGTACATGTTACAACCTAGTTGGCAACTTTAACACTAATTACAACTATACATTCATTACACTTCTAAAAGTAGCTATACAAACTACTAGAATGAAGCTATTCTCTTGAGGTTCCTTTCTCGGCCTCTTTGAGCTCTCTACACCTGTAACATGAAGTAACGAAGTGAGACATATGTTCTAGTAACTTAAATAAATCTAAACACTAATTAATAGGTAAAACTAGACACGAGATAGAGTAACACTATTTTAACAATGAATATAAGTAACAGTGTTATGCAATGCACAGATAATTATGTATGAGCATGTTTCAATAGTATCCCCCAAAACCTTCATATTCCCGACTGAATCCATAGGTTATGCACATGACCCCTTATTGGAAACTGTGCCCGAGGGCCAATCATTGTACTATGAACATTATTATTTATGAATTTTTCTTTTGTTATCATATTAATTGCATATTCACTATGATAATTGTATCCTTAGATAAACTATAATGGTTGTCCTAAATGTTTTGGGTTGGTTATCTATAAGAGATCACAGTTGAAATAAGACTAGTATGACTTTAGTTAATTATAGAGATATAAATCAAAGTTATAGGCACTTGAAAGGGTTTGAGGTGCTCGACCGACCTACTATGAGAAAGCTATATGGTATAAATCATAAGCTTATCTCATATGTAACTATGTCACTAAGCTCTTTGACTTGATATCATGATGGATTCCTACATGATGACCATTGAACTTTGACTTAATCAAAAGTCATCTTTAATTAGGTGATCATAAAGACTATAGTTGAGTTTAGTGATATTCATGCAGAGGAATATGAGTGGTCAAGATAAAATTTATCCCTTACATTAATTGAGAGATATTATTGGGCTCTTCAATGAGTAAGATTGAGAAAATATATGGATATACTACAATGGAAAGAGTTTTCCATTGTCATAGTCAGTCCACTCAGAGATCGAGAAAGTAATGGTTAGGTAAAGGAGAATGACAATGCATGTCTCACACTTGTTCAAAATATTATGTGACAAAAAGGATGTAATACGATTATATGATAGGTTACATTGAATCATCGATCCCTATATGAATTAGGTAGTTACAATATCTTGCTAGAGACCACTTGTGACTCTTAGGCTAGTAGCATAATTAGCCTATTGCTAACTTTATATAGGCCTATAGGGTCACACACAAGAACAGTCTAACTCGAGCTATAATATCTAATTTCATTGAATCTAAAATGTGTCTAGATTCAATGAATGTAATGTTTTATCTAGGGTGAACTAATATATATATATATATATATTTGAATATTTATTTGATAAATATATATATGTGAAATATAAAATTCAAAATATAATTATATATATTTATATATTTTTCAAAATATATATTCGTGTGTATCTGATATATATATGTGTGTGTATGTATGTATGTATGTATATGATATATAAAATTTAAAATATAACATAACATAATATATATATATATATATATTATGTTAGTTTTAAATTTAGTTTTATATGATAAAATTAAATTTAATAAGTAACATGATATAAAAAGATATCATATTAGTTCTATAATATAAATTTATGAGATAAATTCG